GCCCCTAATCTGTGGATGGGCCCCCTATTATACCGCCTTCTGAAATGCTGGCTGGCCAAATGTGTGAAGTGGGGGGGGGTCATCATGGGTCCCCTTTGTACGGCCTCCCATTGCTGCTGTCTGGGTTTCGCCACACGGGGTGCATTTATGTGTGGGGGGGGGGGGGGGGGGGGGGGTGGGGGGGGGGGGGGGGGGGGGGGGGGGGGGTGGGTGGGGGTTGGGGGTTGGTTGGGGGGGGGGGGTAATGGGTGGGGGTGGGGTGGGGTTTTTGGGGGGGGGGGGGGGGGGTATTGGGGGTTTGGGTTGGGGTGGTTGGGGGTGGGGGGGTTTTTGGGGGGGTGGAGGGGGGGGGTTTGTGGTAATTTTTTTTGTGGTTGGGTGGTGGGGATGTAGGTGGGGGGGGGGGGTGGGGTGGGGGTTTTGGTTGGGGGGGGGGGGGTGGGGGGGGGTTGGGGGGGGGGGGGGGGTTTTTTGGGGATGGGGTTAGATTTGGGGGTTAGGGGGGGGGGGTTTTTGTGGGGGGGGTGGGGGGGTTTTGGGGGGGGGGGGGGGGTGGGGGGGTATGGGGGGGGGGGGGGGTTGTTTTTTTGGGGGGGGGGTTGTTGGGGGGTGGGGGGTGGGGGGGGGGGGGGGTTATTGGGGGGTGGGGGGGGGGGATGGGGCTAAGGAGGGGGGGGGGGGGGGGGGTGGGGGGGGCTGGGGGGTTTATGGGGGGAGGTAGGGGGGGGGGGGGTATGTTATTGAGGTTTGAGGGGGGGGGGGGATGTGGGGTTGGGTGGTGGGGGGGGGGGGGGGGGGGGTATTTGGTTGTAGGGGGGTGTGGGGGGGGGGGGGGGGGGGGGGGGGGGTGGGGGGGGAGGGGTGGGATATTATTGAGGGGAGGGGGGGAGGGGGGGGGGGGGGGGGGGATGGAATGGGGGGGGGGGGGGGGGACGGTATGGGGTTGGGTTATGAGGGGGGGCCAGGGGGGTGGGGGGGGGGGTGGGGGTGGAATTTGGGGGGGGGTGGGTGGTTAATTGAATGGGGGGGGATTGGGGGTGGGGGGGGAGGGGGTGGGAGGGAATGGGGGGGGAATAGGCTGGGAGGGGGGGGGGGTGGTGGGGGGGGGGGGGGGGGGATTATAGGGGGAACTACCATTGGGGTCAGGTGGTGGGGGGGAGGGGGTATTGAGGGGTTTTGGGGGGGTGTATTGGGGGGGGGAATGGGGGGGATGAGGGGGTTAAGGGGGGTGTTGGGGGAGGGGTTTGTGATGGGGGGGGGGTGGTATTCTTGGGGTTATATGGGGGGGGGGGGGGGGGGGGAGGGTTGTTAAGGTATTAGAAACCTACAGGGGGGGTGTATTTGGGGGGGGGTATTGGGGTGGGGGGGGGGAGGGGGGGGAGGGGGGTGTATGGGTGAGAGGGGGGGGGGGGGGGGGGATATGGGGGGTTGGGGGGGGATGATGCGGGGGGAGGTGGGTATGCTTAGAATAGGGGGGGGGTATGGGGGTTTGATGTATGGGGGGGAGGGGGGGGGGATGGGGGCTTGGAGGGGGGGGGGGGGGGGGTTCATGTTTAGGGGGGGGGGGGGGGGGGGGTATTTTCACTAAAGGGGGGATTTTGGGGGGGGGATTTAGGTGGGGTGGAAAAATAAGGGGGGGGGACTGGAAAGGGGGGGGAGGTGGGGGGGGGGGGATAGGTGGCGGGGGGGGGGGGTGGGGGGGTAGGGGGTAGAGGGGGCGGTTGGAATAGGGGGGGTGGGGGGGGGGGGGTTAGGGGGGGGGGGGATATTGGGAAGTGGGTGGGGTGGGGGGGGTGGGGGGGGGGGGGGGGGGGGGGAGCGTGAGTGGTGTATGGGGGGGGGTATGGATTCTTGAAAATTAGGGGGGGTGGTGGGGGAGGGGGGGGGGGAAAAGTGAAAAGGGGGGGGGGTATTATAAGGGAAGGGGTTGTGGGGGGGAAGGGGGAAGGTGGAGGGGGGAGGGGGGGGGGGAGGGGGGGGGGGGGGGGATCAGGGGGGGGGGATGAATGGGGGGGGGGCTGGAATGGGGGGGGGGGGTTGCGGGGGGGGAAGGATGGGGGGGGGGGGGGACATTTTAGGGGGGGGTAGAAGTTGGGTGGGGGGGGGGGGGGGTTTAGGGGTTGGGGGGTGGGAAGGATGGGGGGGAAGTGGGGGAGGGGGGAGGGTTGGGGGGTGGGGGAGGGGGATGGGGGGGGGGGGGGGGAAGGGGGGGGGGGAGGGGGGGTGGGGGGGGGGATTGTTGGGGGTAAGGGGGGGGTTCCATGGGATTTTGTATTGAAAGGGGGGGGAGGGGGATGGGTGGATTAAGGTTAGGGTGGGGGGGGTATAGAGAAAGGGGTCTTAGATAATGTGAGACCATTGTCAGAAATGTTTCATTGGGGGGGGGGGGGGGGGGGAGGTAAGGGATATAGGGGGGGATTTGGGAGGGAGAGGGGGGGGGGGGTTCCGGGCGGGGAGGGGGGTGGGGGGGGGGGGGGTGGGATTGGGAGATTCGGGGGGGGGGGGGGATTGTTTGGCGGGGGGGGGGGGGGGGGGGGGTAATTAGGGCCCCAAGAGGGGGGCTGTGAGGAGGCACCTGGGCTCGGGGCCTCTTGCTTTACACACCCACTCAATACCTGTCCTCCTTGGTGCCGAAGAGGTGAGTGAATGTCCCCGCTCCCTTGAGTGCATGGGCATTTGTTCGGCCTCCCCCGTAATAGTCTGTTCTAATCGTACTTGGAGAGGGGATATGTGAAATGATAACAGGGTCCCCTGACACATCTGATATATGGCGTTCGTTCGCTTTTGACGATAGGGCCTGTATTTGCTGGGGGTGTTGTGGGACCTGTTAGTAAATCTGACGTATTTGAGGGATAGCTGATAGGCAAGTTGATCTGCCATGGGCAAATACTGTGCCTAAATCCGAGTCCTTCACCTGATGCTGCCAATGTACATCCATATGGGTCAATGTGATACAGGGGGGGGGCGCTGATGGGACGATTCTCCCTTGTGCCTGCTCACTTTCTCCATCGCCAGTGGCCCTCTGCCATGGGAGCGTAACTGTTGGGGCAGGATCTCTTCTCACCTATGTGGGGTGTGTAGGGGTCCTCATAGGGGTGCAGGAACGAGATTACTTGAGGGGTGCCTAGAAGATGCTGCCAGGGCAATATCCCCTTCTCGTGCCATGGGCCCCCTATTTACCTCCTAAGCCCTCCGGCACACTGCCTTGCAGCCAGGGTGGAGAGTCTCTCCATGGTCCCATGGTACGGCCCTCCATCCATGCTGCTGTGTCTCCATCGCCCACACTCTGGCATGTGACTGGACTTTCAGGTCTCCTCACAGGGTTCTTCTGCTGGTGTGTTCAGAATTTTTTGACATAGGGTGCTGGCAGATTACGGGCCTCCCATTAGCTGCTGCAGGCCCCTAATCTGCCATTATAGGGCCCCTATATAAAAACCGCCTTCCTCATGCTGCTGCCAAGGACTCCAGAGTCTCCTCATGGGGTCCCTGTAGGCCTCCCCTTGCTGCTGTCTCCATCGCCACACTCTGCCATGTGCCACTTTCAGGTCTCCTCACACACTGCTGGTGTGTTGAATTTTTTTGACATAGGGTGCTGGCAGATTACGGGCCTCCCATAGCTGCTGCCAGGCCCCTAATCTGCCATGGGCCCCTATATACCCGCCTCCTCATGCTGCTTGCTGCCAGGTCCAGAGTCTCTCATGGGTCCCTGTACGGCCTCCCATTGCTGCTCTTGTCTCCATCGCCACACTCTGCCATGTGCCACTTTCAGGTCTCCTCACACTGCTGGTGTGTAGAAATTTTTTGACATAGGGTGCTGGCAGATTACGGGCCTCCCATAGCTGCTGCCAGCCCCCTAATAATCTGCCATGGGCCCCTATACCACAAACCCCCTGAAATGCTTCCTCATGCTGCTGCCAGGATCCAAGTCTAGTCCTTTTTCTCATGGGTCCCTGTACGGCCTCCCATTGCTGCTGTCTCCATCGCCACACTCTGCCATGTGCCACTTTTTCAGGTCTCCTCACACACTGCTGGTGTGTAGAAAATTTTTTGACATAGGGTCTGCAGATTACGGGCCTCCCATAGCTGCTGCCAGGCCCCTAATCTGCCATGGGCCCCTATATACCGCCTCCTCATGCTGCTGCCAGGTCCAAGTTCCATCCAGTCTCTCATGGGTCCCTGTACGGCCTCCCATTGCTGCTTCTCCATCGCCACACTCTGCCATGTGCCACTTTCAGGTCTCCTCACACTGCTGGTGTGTTGAATTTTTTGTCATAGGGGTGCTGGCAGATTACGGGCCTCCCATAGCTGCTGCCAGCCCCTAATCTGCCATGGGCCCCTATATACCGCCTCCTCATGCTGCTGCCAGGTCCAGAGTCTCTCATGGGGTCCCTGTACGGTCCTCCCCATTGCTGCTGTCTCCATCGCCACATGACTCTGCCATGTGCCACTTCAGGTCTCCTCACACACTGCTGGTGTGTAGAATTTTTTGACATAGGTGCTGGCAGATTACGGGCCTCCTATAGCTGCTGCCAGGCCCCTAATCTGCCATAGGCCCCTATATACCGCCTCCTCATGCTGCTGCCAGGTCCAGAGTCTCTCATGGGTCCCCTGTACGGCCTCCCATTGCTGCTGTCTCCATCGCCACACTCTGCCATGTGCCACTTTCAGGTCTCCTCACACTGCTGGTGTTCCATTTTTTGACATAGGGTGCTGGCAGATTACGGGCCTCCCATAGCTGCTGCCAGGCCCCTAATCTGCCATGGGCCCCTATACCGCCTCCTCATGCTGTGACATGCTGCTGCCAATCCAGAGTCTGTCATGGGTCCCTGTACGGCCTCCCATTGCTGCTGTCTCCATCGCCACACTCTGCCATGTGCCACTTTCAGGTCTCCTCACACACTGTGCTGGTGTGTTCCATTTTTTCATAGGGTGCTGGCAGATTACGGGCCTCCCATATAGCTGCAGGCCCCTAATCTGCCATGGGCCCCTATACCGCCTCCTCATGCTGCTGCCAGGTCCAGAGTCTCTCATGGGTCCCTGTACGGCCTCCCATTGCTGCTGTCTCCATCGCCACACTCTGCCATGTGCCACTTTCAGGTCTCCTCACCTCACACTGCTGGTGTGTTACATTTTTTGTCATAGGGTGCTGGCAGATTACGGGCCTCCCATTGCTGCTGCCAGGCCCGTAATCTGCCATGGGCCCCCGTACCGACTCCTCATGCTGTGACGTTGCAACAAGGTGGAATTCAACCCTACATATGTTAGACCGCCTTTACGAACAGCGAAAGGCCATCACAGATTTCCTGATGTTAAAAGCGGATAAAGGTACTCCCTGTGTAACTTAGATGTCAGCCATTGGCAGCTCATGCGTGACACCTGCGCTTGCTCAGGCCCTTTGAGGAGGCCACGCTATTCGTGAGTCGGCAGGACTATGGGATGAACGACGTCATTCCTCTGTTGCACGTCCTGGAACAAATGCTGTTAACAATGGCTGGTCAGGCTGCGGTAGACGTGGCGCACAGATCTCAACGCCACATGACCCCTGTGGGGGCAGGACAGGAAGAAGAGGAGGAGGTAGAGGAGGACATTGGTGCTCAGGAATTATTGAGTGAAATGGGTGGTTTTTCCACTCAGCGGACAGGAGTGAGGGAGCAGGAGCATCTGGTAGAAGAGGAGGAGGAGGAGACAGAGGACCCAGAAGCACCGTGGCAGTATGCTGTGGAGATGGAGGCAGGGAGTCCCTCGCATTCCTTGGCACAAATGGCCCATAGTATGCTCGCTTGCTTGCTTAGCGACAGCCGAATAATAACCATCAGACAGAGGGATGACTTTTTGGCTGTCCACCTTGTTGGACCCTCGCTACCGTTCAAAAATGGTGGCCTTTTTCACACCTGCTGAGAGGGAGGCCAAAATAACGTACTATAAAAACCACCTATGTAGTCAGCTGGTCTCTGCCTTTCTGCGCCAACGTCCATCCTCAGACACTGTGGGCCCTGTGCGCTCGCGTTCCGCTGCCATGGCAGCAGGGGAGGGGTGGGGTGGTAGGAGCAGTGGCAGCTCCACCAGCAGCAGCTGCCTCAGTCTGCAGTCGATGATGAGTAGCTTTCTTCACCAGCGCAGTGAGGAAACTACTAACCAGCCGCAGCAGCAGCAGCATCAGGTGGACCTGGAGCAGGACCTCAAACAACAGGCTTAGGCCTACTTGGACAGCACCCTGCCAACCGAGGTAGACAATCCCCTTGACTACTGGGCAACGAAACTTGACCTTTGGCCCCAACTAGCTGAATTTGCCCTTGAAAGGCTGTCATGCCCGGCCAGTAGCGTGGCATCGGAGCGCGTGTTTAGTGCGGCAGGAGGTATTGTAACTCCGCGGAGGACACGACTGTCCACCCAAAGTGTGGAGAGACTCACGTTTGTGAAAATGAATCAGGCGTGGATTAGTCTGGATTTTCAAACCACCAGTTCCTGACACAACTGACTAAATCCGCCATGAATCATGCCCCAAACATGTGCCACTTTCAGGTCTCCTCACACTGCTGGTGTGTTCCATTTTTTGTCATAGGGTGCTGGCAGATTACGGGCCTCCCATAGCTGCTGCCAGGCCCCTAATCTGCCATGGGCCCCTATACCGCCTCCTCATGCTGCTGCCAAGTCCAGAGTCTCTCATGGGTCCCTGTACGGCCTCCCATTGCTGCTGTCTCCATCGCCACACTCTGCCATGTGCCACTTTCAGGTCTCCTCACACTGCTGGTGTATTCCATTTTTTGTCATAGGGTGCTGTCAGATTACGGGCCTCCCATAGCTGCTGCCAGGCCCCTAATCTGCCATGGGCCCCTATACCGCCTCCTCATGCTGCTGCCAAGTCCAGAGTCTCTCATGGGTCCCTGTACGGCCTCCCATTGCTGCTGTCTCCATTGCCACACTCTGCCATGTGCCACTTTCAGGTCTCCTCCCACTGCTGGTGTGTTCCATTTTTTGTCATAGGGTGCTGGCAGATTACGGGCCTCCCATAGCTGCTGCCAGGCCCCTAATCTGCCATGGGCCCCCGTACCGACTCCTCATGCTGCTGCCAGGCCCGTAATCTGTCATGGGCCCCTGTTGTCGCTTGTTGGCATATTCCGCTCGTTCAGATGCTCCTTCTCCTGCTACTCCTCTTCACGGATTCCGTCAGCAGTTTTTCTTGGAATCCGTTTCCAAGAGACAACAGTTTGCGAGCACGCATCCGACGGTGCAGAAGCTGAACGTCCTCCTGTCCAAGTTGCTGCTGCCAGGCTCGTAATCTGTCATGCGCCCCTGTACCGCCTCCTCTTGCTGCTGCCAGGTCCAGAGTGTGTCATGGGCCCCCGTACCGACTCCTCATGCTGCTGCCAGGCCCGTAATCTGTCATGGGCCCCTGTACCACCTCCTCATGCTGCTGCCAGGTCCAGAGTGTGTCATGGGTCCCTGTACGGCCTCCCATTGCTGCTGCCAGGCCCGTAATCTGCCATGGGCCCCCGTACCAACTCCTCATGCTGCCAGGCCCGTAATCTGTCATGGGCCCCTGTACCGCCTCCTCATGCTGCTGCCAGGTCCAGAGTGTGTCATGGGTCCCTGTACGGCCTCCCATTGCTGCTGTCTCCATCGCCACACTCTGCCATGTGCCACTTTCAGGTCTCCTCACACTGCTGGTGGTTTCCATTTTTTGTCATAGGGTGCTGTATGGCCTCCCATTGCTGCAGCCTCCACCGCCACACTGTGGCTCCACTCTCTGGTTTTGGCCCCGTGACTGCCCAAATGAGTGAAGTGTGCGGTGATTCTAAGATCGACGGCACTCATCTGCATGTCATACTGACTGTCAGTATTATTTCTCTTCCCCAGCAGACTCCAAGGGCATTTAAATTAAAGGTACAGTGTTCTGCACTAATATAAAGGCTCTCTGAAGCCTAGAAACACCCTTTTATAAGTTAAATTCGCAGCGAATATATTCGACTCGAATCGAAATTTTTCCACGAATTCGCCGAATCAGCCGAATCGAATTTTTGAATACTTCGCTCATCTCTAATAGTTAGTCTGGCTGAAAAAAGACAAAAAACATTAAAAAAAAAAGTTATAATCCTATAACCACAGTTGATCCAGAGGAAGGCAAAAAAACCCAGCAAAGCATGATCCAATTTGCTACTGCAGGGAAAAAAATTCCTTCCTGATCCCCCGAGATGCAATCGGATATTCCCTGGATCAACTTTACCTATAAATGTTAGTATCCAGTTATATTCTGTGTATCTAAAAAAGAATGCAGGCCTTTTTTGAAGCAATCCACTGAGCTGGCCAGAACCAACTCTTGAGGGAGTCTATTCCACATTTTTACAGCTCTCACTGTGAAGAAACTTTTCCGTGTTTGGAGATTACAATTCTTTTCCTCCAGACGTAAAGAGTGCCCCCTTGTCCTCTGTGATGACCTCAGGGTGAATAGCTCTACACCGAGCTCACTATATGAACCACTGATGTATTTATACATGTTGATCATATCGCCCCTTAATCTCTTCTCAAGAGAGAATAAATTCAGTTCCTCTAATCTTTCCTCATAGCTGATCTCCTCCATGCCTCTTATCAGTTTGGTTGCCCTTCTCTGTGCTTTCTCCAGTTCCCCAATGTTCTTTTTGTGAATTGGTGCCCAAAAAACTGAACTGCATGTAAGACAATGGTGCTGGTGATCTCCGTAGTTACTAGGGATGCAGTGGTTGCAAACCAGCTTCCATATACTGTATAATGTTTGGCTCCTGCCATATGGTGGGCTGAATGAAAGAATGCCAGTATTTGATCCAAACCTAGGTTCAGACTCAGCCGTTGGTTCACACCTGTATTTGTTAAAACAAGTAACACGTTGCTGATAGAGGAGCAGGAGAGATGGAGGATTAGGGTGGAAATAAAACAGTCCTATTACATATGGCAGTTTCTGGCAAAGAATGAAAACAGTTTCTACAAAGAACATCCTGTAATGGAATGATTACATCGCTTCTCTTAAACAGCAACATTACCTTCACCACTTCCTGCTATTATTTTTTTATTTATTACAGGTACTTATATAGAGCTGTCAATTTACACAGCACTTTACATACATGTATTTTACATAGGTCAGTTCCTAACCCTCAAGGAGCTTAGAATCAAAGGTCCCTAACTCACATTCATACATACACAGACTAGCGCCAATTTAGACAGGATCCAATTAACCTACCAGCATGTCTTTGGAGTGTGGGAGGAAACCAGAGTACCCGGAGGAAACCCAAAAAGGCACAGGGAGAACCACCTGCACTCCATGCAGGTGGTACTGTGGTTGGGATTCCAACCCTGATACTGCCATGTGGAAGTGCTAACCATTCAGCCACTGTGCTAGCATTACCAAGGAAGTAATTGGTAAAGACAAGCCTTTCTCAGCCAGGTTACTCCAGATGTTAAGGGCTAGAGCAGGGGCGGACTGACAACTCATGGGGCCCCCGGGCAATAGGGGATCATGGGGCCCCTGTGTCCTTACCCAAACTCAAAAAAGCCTATGAAAAAGGTACCAGGACCATCTCATGGGGCCCCCTACTGACACCGGGCCCTTGGGCAGTGCCCTAGTTTCCAAATGGTCAGTCCGCCCCTGGGCTAGACTTTCCTTTAGCAATGAGCATTTTTTGCTTCTGCCCCTCAGATATGTAATCGCTGACACCTAAGATCTTTTTTGATATCTGCAAGGGTAGATTATCCCCGCTTAAACCAATATAAGTGGCAATCTCGCCACTATCATTGTAATGGGGCCCTTCTCTTAATGACTCAGCCAACAACTACCATGTAAGAGGGTCCTTCTCCCACTGATCATCAGTCTTAGAAGGCCCCTCCACTGACCACTAATCTAAGGGAGCATATTACTGACCACCAATGTAAGGGAGCATATTACTGACCACTAATCTAAGGGAGCATATTACTGACCACCAATGTAAGGGAGCATATTACTGACCACCATGTAAGGGGGCATATTACTGACCACCAATGTAAGGGAGCATATTACTGACCACCAATGTAAGGGAGCATATTACTGACCACCAGTGTAATGTGGTGTTACACTGACTTCCAGTGAAAAGTGGCCCTACACTGATCACTAACATAAGGGGGCACTTTTAAACTGACCATTAAAGTAAGCAAGCTTTTATTTATTAAAGTCGAACTAAACTGCATATGATCACTACAAACCAAAAATGCTCTTTAATTCATTCTTAATATTCAAAGCAAACTCCCCCTTCCATCCATATTTTCATGCTTTATTTTGATGAGAAATCCCTTTGAAAAACAACCCTATGGCTATCTTAAGTAAGGGCAGATTATTCATGTAGCATTTACTTCCTAGAATCCATCTGCCCTTAGCTCAGGCATGTAGGCAGGGGGTATGCTTGGTTGAGAAAACCCCTCCTGTAGACGCTTAGATTGCATAACACAATTTGCCTAGGCATGAAAACCATGAAGTAACTTAAGAAATGTAAAAAAGGTTCAAAATAAGCAAATATGATACACTTTCCTGAAAATTATTGAAAGTTATTTCATGAGTCTCTCTGTGTTAAAAAAAATGTTGAGAAAACCTAGACTCTGCAGGATAGCATGTAGATAATGAAAGGCACTTCATAAAGTGGAGCTTCACTCTCTCAATCAACATTGACTATTTGTAATCCTTTTGCTGCCAGCATTACTAAATAGCTAGGAAAGTATATCATATTTACTTGTTTTAAACGGCTTTTGCATTTCTTCAGTTACTTCCTGGTTTCTGGCCTAGGCATATAATGTCAGGGGAGGATGGGTTTTTCTCAACAAAACACAGTCTCCTGGCTGCATGCCTGAACAGGGGGGCAGATGGATTCCAGGAAGTAGATGCCATGCCATGGCCAGGCCAGAAATGCTGGGGGCGTGTTTTTCTAAGTGATTTCTCAGCAAAACTAAGCATAGTGAAATGGATGAATGGATGAGCTTGCTTTGAGTATTAAAAATGAATTAAATAGCATTTTTGGTTTGTGGTGCTCGGATGCAGGTCAGTTCCGCTTTAAGTTCTGTTTTAAGTTTGCAGAGATTTTAGACCTCTGTTATAGTGAATGAGGAGATGATTTTTTTAATTTGACTGTTTAACATGATGTGTTTATACACAATGGCTTGTGGGTATGAGGCCCTTGTCCTCATCAACATGGGGACAAGCTGTATTGCTGAGGGGGGGTCCCACATGTTGAGGACAAGTAACCTGATATACAATATATAAATTTAGGTTAGCCTACTGATGAAGTTTGGCCCTCCGGACATAACACATATGGAGGGTGGAACTTATGCAATGACGTCATTCCACCGCCATATTGGAAACCGCTGAGTGGTGAGACTGGGCCATAGAGGAAATGCTATTTACATTGTGAAAGTGCTGTATTTAGCACTTGATGTGCTTTTTATCTTGTAAGTGTTTTAACCCATTGTTTGAAGAATTAAACATATACAGAGAGTACTATTAGTCCTCATTTCTTCCATATATCCTAGATTTATCTGAGTTGCGTGTAGGTTTGAAACTAGCAGTGTTTGGATACACAATTCCTAATATTAGCCCAAAAGGGGGCAAAATAAAGCTCTTTTGACATAATTTCAGATCTAGAGGTCAAAGCAAGAGGTGAGCATATGGGGGGGTGCAGCATGGTCTGGACAGTAAACAAACAGAGTCTGGTTGCGGTAAAACTTGTATTAAGCCAATGTTACAGACACCCTGGTGGAAAAGCGGCACCAGCGAAAT